TTTTTTTCTCATCTCATCAGACTGAGCTACTTCTTGTACTTGCAAAGCTAGATTGAATCTGAATCTTGTGCCGCCGAACAGTTAAATATATCCTGATGTACACCACAAATATGAGGATGAAACTGAAAGATGCAGAAACTAAAATAATAAGATCTCGAATACTAACTAACCCCCACATTATCATCAAAGAACAGATGCACCATACAACCATAGAGAAATTAACATACAGGAGCGGTCAAGACTTCAATAATATTGTATTTTCATCAGTTTAAATCAAAATTTAGACAATGAAAGAGTGTTGCAGTAAAGATACGATAACTTTACTTATTTTCGCGGGAGTTGATTATTGCGATTTTCGCGATTGTCAAATATCTCGAAATACAAAGACCTTAAAATAGTTTTTTGCGGAAATCATGAACCAGGAGAAAAGTAATGGGTCCTTGTAACTGGTCACGATAAGCTGTTTATACTTATGAATTATTTTTCTGTTCCTGCTGATCAGTATCTTGACAATTTTCGCGTAATTTAGTCCCTTTTATGAAATACTTTTTAGTCAAATCGCGATATTAAATTCCCGCGAAGTATGTCCATACCATTTTCGCGACATTAAATTCTCGAAAACCCGAGTTTACCCTTGTCTAGCTGAGCGAACAGAGGTAATCAAGAAAAACTCATCCTGTACAAAAAAAGTTTTAAAATTTCTTCGTCTTTGCTCAGGTGTGCACCGTGTACAGAGACCTCTGGCCTAATTTCTCAAAAATAACTTCTGCTACCACTGTTGTCGCTTTCATAACTTGATTGCTGTTTGGCAGGTTTGGCGGACTACAACTTAGAAAGTAATTGCACACAGGTATTCAGTGACTAATATGAATCTCATTTGAACATCGATTGTAAATTATTCGAGATGGCCCATTTCTTCTCTAAGAAATGTTCCACAGGATATATCCATGATGGCTTGTCGAACGTATCTCATTTTCCAGCGGCAAAAGACAGGGTTCGAATATGAATTACGAAACATGAGAGTCAATGAATAAGACAAAAACATTAAGCTCATTAAGTTACTTTCCTTTATTCCAGAGTGACAGCTAGCTATGTTCATTAAAAAAATTTATAAGAGCCTTTGAGATGATAATAATACACTCTGAATAGTACACAATGTTTAGTTTAGTTATCTTCACAGATAATACGCCATGGAACTTAAGGTATTATTCTTATTATCGATTTCCTTATACCTAAGTTATCGCTATTCCGAAATGAGTTTTTCTGTTAGGAATAAGAAACCTCATCTGTCATTTATCATCCTAAAGGACCGGTCATGGGGGGTTACTCTGGTGACGACGTCTAATCCCCTCCCCGTCTCCCCTGAAATCAGACCCTAACACAAATATTCTAAGATATTTTCTAAATCGCCACGTAATCATCATAGATATGCCTGAGATTTAAGCTTGACGAGATTAATGCTTTGACACTATTCACGTCATAGACCCACTTTTTTGTCCAGAAATTGGAAATTACGAAACCTAAGCGAAAAGAGATAACGAAAACATGCTTAATTTTAACATCTCAAAAGTTCCCGCTCACGTATTATCTAGAAGCACCTGCAAACATCTGCGAACTAAACAATAACTCTAAAGCCGCCTCCGTCTGTTTTCGTTTTCATCTTGAGCCTTTTGTTTCGACTCATTTTTTATCGCAAAAGTGTAAAGGCCAACGACATGCTTTTCGCTGCCTGTTTAGTTTTGGAGCATATCAATCAATCCTTTTTTTTTTCAATCCACCCAATAGCCAATGATTACCATCAATTTTCTCTCCCTCTTAAATACTAGCTCCCGTTTGCTTTTCTTCCTTCCGCTCTTAATGTGACGCTATGCCATTTGAGTCGTAGGATCATTTAACTTTTTAACTTCCAATTTAAAGACCTGGAGGTTTATTCCTTCACCTATATCTTAAATTTGTTGCTCAGTCCTGAGAGTCTTCCTCTCCAAACCATGATCTCTGATTGATTATCTTTGCAATTCTCATTACATTCTTTAATGCTTGAAAGTTTCTCCAAATTGCACTGGAAAGGGAGTCAAGGAGTTGACTTTTTATTGAGAGGAAGAAGTTCATTTTTGTCCTCTGTTACGGCGTAGTTTGGAAATTCTTCCTTTGAGGCAGAGGAATGGATGGCACAAGTTTCCTTCTGTTTTATTCCAAGCTGGCGAGTCATTATGCTGTCAGTGCTAGACTTAAGTGAGTGAGCAAAACATTCCGCAGTCATAGGCAAACTTTTCAATGGATAAATGAAACCCCTGCACGAAGCTTAGCTCCGCATCCACCCCCATTTTTTGCAATCGTGATTTTAAATTTAGAGCGACGAAAACCTTGATATGAATAATATCATGTCTGCTATCCTTCTTTCATTGCCATCCGTAATTACAGTCTCACGGTCCATCGATAACAAAACCAGCTTCCCTGTTCAAAGTGGCTTTTTTCTCTCCTGTTGCGACAATTTGATATGTTGTGTAGTTAAATTCGGAGCTGCGCAGTTATTTGGCTGACGGGTCCTATCCCTAAGTTTATGACTAATCTTCTTTGTCCCTATTTACTTTGTCGAAAATTTATAAACTGTGTATAGTCCTTGTAAGCCACACAGATTCCCTCAGTTCTCAACATGGACGATGCTCGATGGCCGATTGTAAAATACGCGAGATGGCTTATTTCTTCTCCAAGATACCTTCCACATTATGTCGATGATGGCGTGTCGAATTTGTCTCATCTTCCAGCAGTAAATGACAGGGCTCAAAGTTGAATTTAGATACATGAGAGTCAAAGAGAAAAGAAAGAGGTTTTTTAAAGCGGAATTCGAGCCATAGATTCCAATAGTAGCTATGGAAATGAAAAAAGGCAAATAACAACTTAAAAACACGAGAAATACGTAGAATATTCCAACTGTTGACTTAATGAGTGAGAACAGCAAAGTTTTTCATTTCATGAGACTGAGCTTCGTCTCGTATTTGGATGGACCGAATCTGATTCCTGTGTCGTCGAACAGTTAGATATATCTTGATGTACATCACAAGTGTGATAATAAAACTGAAAGACGCAAGAACTAAACTAATAAGGAACTGAGTACTCAATGGCCCCCATAATATCATCAAAGAAGCAAATGCACTATACACCCACATGCCGATCACCACAATGACAACACGCTTGTGAGTCACAAGCTCTTGATATCTGAGATGAAAGTGAAGGGCCAAGAACCTGTCTACACTTACAACCACGATACTAAGGAACGAAGCAGCCGAAAATAAAGGGGCTGAAATATTCATCAGTCGGCGAGTGTTACAACCAGGTTCCTTTAATAGAAACCACTGGATCAAAAAGAACGTGTATAAGGGTTGAATAAACAGACCGACTGCAACATCAGAGCAGGCAAGCAGTAGCGCTTTCAAAGTTTTTGCCATTGTTGAAGTTTTGTGAATGGCGTAGATTACCACAATGTTCAACATGATGGTGGTGTAAGTTAGACAATTGTTGAAGACACAGTTAGCGATAAAAGTCGATCGAAGATTTGCAAGTTCGGCGTATCTAGGGAAGTATTGCGAAGTCTCGTTACAAAACAATTTGTTCATGATGTCAACTCACGTATAAAAGATACGAACCCCTCTTCCCGGCAGACAAATAATTAACAAATGGTAAACACCACAGCATACACTATTGAGTTCTGGATGCACGCGGGAGGTTGCTAAGCACGAAAGAAGCGTAAGAGTCGCTCGAGGCGATAGCCGAGAGCGACTCTAGCTTCTTGAGTACTTNAAGATAATAAATATTGAACAGTTTTAGACAGTCGAAGTTAAATATCAGGTCGTCTGTCAAAATGAGTTTTTACAATTTTCTCACAAGGCTTAATTTTTGAAGCATACGTTAGACCTCATTCACACCAGAAAAATATGCTGAGTAAAACTTGGTTTAACTGAATGAAATTCAAAAACGGAGACCTGAGAAACTGCATTAATTTTCCATAAATTTCGATCAGTCACACAGTTGTAATTATTCAGTTCAATTCGCTAAATTTAAAGTCTACAAACATCAGCCAAGAAGCCTCTATGAAGAAACAATTTTAAACTGTGTCTAATTATAACAAAACAGCTTTTGTGTGAATGTGGTGTATAACACATGCATTCCTTTCATAGTCCTTTAAAATTGAGGCAAACTTTTTATCGCGAAAATCAAATGAATTCTAAAATTTTCTCGTCCTGGTACAGGCCTGAACCATCAGTAGAGATCACTGGCCTTATTGCTAAAACGTTGAATAAAAACCACCAGTGTTGTCATTCTCTTATGAAGACTGCTGTTAGGACTATAGTTGCATCTCAGAAGTATAAAAGTGTTAAGAACGTTTTCAGTTCTCTTATTTGGATTCTTTTACAATCCCTATTAAACGAAGGTTTCACTTAGACTAAAATCAACCATGAAATGAAAGATTATCATCAACATGGGTATCAGGTGGAAACAATTTAACTTCGCAATGAATTGAAACGTTCAGTTTGCGTTAATAATTTTCTCTCTAACGTTTATTTNNCTTCATCCTCCAAAGCCGTACAGCGTGCGTCCCTGTCGTTTCAGCGCGTATACGACGTCCATTGCGGTGACTGTTTTTCGCTTGGCGTGTTCGGTGTAGGTCACCGCGTCACGTATTACATTTTCGAGGAAAACTTTGAGAACTCCGCGCGTTTCTTCATAAATGAGACCTGAAATGCGTTTCACGCCGCCTCTTCTGGCTAAACGTCTAATGGCGGGCTTAGTGATGCCCTGAATGTTGTCGCGTAGGATTTTCCTATGTCGTTTCGCACCTCCTTTTCCCAAACCTTTTCCTCCTTTACCGCGACCGGACATCTTCTTCAAATAAACTGATTTTTCTTGAAAGAACCACTCTGAATTTCCAGAAAAACGTATATTAAAGACTTAGAAGAGCTCAGAATAATCCTCCTGTGTTTTATACCCCGTTGCATTATCTTCCAAATTTATTTTCATCTGATTGGTCCAATTTTGAAGACAAGTCCTCTAACCAATCAGGTTGCAGTGCTGATTGTATTCCCTGCGTTGGTCGTGTCACCAATGCGATATTTTTTCGTGCATTTCTCTTCAAAGTGATGTCGGCCTCCACGAAATCCAGCATAATTATTCTATCTTTTATTTTTCTTATTTTCCATATGCTAAAAATACCATCAGGAACTATTTAACGATCTTGGTAGATTCATTAAGAGCTGTTGCTTGGAATTGTTCGTTTTTCGCAGTTACTTCGTCAACACCTCTGCCATGGCTAATAGCTCAAAAGGATATCAAAACCTCTTGAAAAGTAGTAAACATATGAATAAATACAACCAAAACGGTATATATCTAAGGCAATTCAAAGAGAGAAAAGTTTAATTTAATTTAATAATAAGTTCTTATATAGCGCATGAAAATTGAACTCTAAGCGCTTTACAATTATAATGAACAAAATTTCAATAAAAATCCTATACATGCAATTTTCGCTACTCTATCTAAACTAATGAATTATTACGTGTTATACATATATTTGACAACGTACAATATCAAACAATTCTGGTGGCTTATTTTTTGAAAAGATAAGTTTTCAATAAGCGTTTAAAGGAGTCAACAGATTCGGCGTTTTTTATGCATTCAGGTAGTTGATTCCACAAATACGGTGCAGCGTAGGAGAATGCTCTTTGCCCATACGTTTTAGTGAGAGCTGACCATACGTAATGTAAATGTTTGCTTTTAATTTTGTATCTGAACCAAAGCAATAGATTCCTTTCTCGCAGTATCTTTACTATATACACTCAACCTATGCTCCTGAGACAAGTCTGTCACCCAATACAATTCGATACACGTTAGAAAATAAAAGGCCCTGTAATTTATGCACAAAAATGGTCTTCTTTTAGTGTTGAAAAAAAGAAAAATGCAAATTAAATTTTGTTTGCCTGATTTTTTTAAATGCTTTTCCTTAGGGAATTGAAACCGGAAAGCACTCAGTTATTTGCTCAACTTTTCATGGGACGCCCCGTGCAAATACTTCAGCACTCTATCGTTAAATTTTGTTTTTCTTCTTGAAATGAGTATCCTAATCGTCACCCTGGCCTTATCCCTCACCTAGAAAGAGTCCATGGGAAAGAGGTTGAGTACCCTATCGTTGCTTTACTTTGCTAACGGTAGATTTTTTATTTTATCCAAATCGTTTAAATCATTTCGCTTTTAAGTAATATATATCCCTTTCATTTTCCTTCTTTATCTTCTTAGCCTAGACAGATTCGGTTCCCTTCAATGCTGGTATTTTTTGGAAATTTCCCTGTGCTATTTTAAGCCATTTGATTAGGTCCCCCGCCCTCACCGGACCCCCATCCACGCCCAGAACCTGTTGATGAGCCCACGAGTATTAACTTCAGCGTTATGGAAGAGAAATGTACGTCATGCTCACTACGCATAGCTCGGTCGGTAGGCTGCTTGCGCAATCGATAGAATGATTGCGCAAGCTTCGAACTTTTTTTTAAGGGAATTAGGTAATCCAAGTAATAAAACTTCAGCCGTTTGGAGGTACAGATCGTGTATAGGTGGCGAAGTAACGATGGAATCATCTACTGAGAATCTAGACACGAAGACGTCAAAAGGAGTAAAGCGTCCTGGGGAGAAATCTGGGGACGATGATTACGTGAAAAAGCGAGAAAGAAATAATATCGCTGTCAGGAAAAGTCGTATGAAAGCTAAAGAACGAATCGAGGAAACCAGACGCAGGGTAACGGATTTAACGAAAGAAAACGAAGATTTACGAAGTAAGGTTTCTTTACTACAGAAAGAGTTGAACGTTTTGAGGTCACTCTTCGCAAACGGAGGAATTTCAGTGCCTTCAGAAATAAATGTACAGTTTACGAACTCAAACAGCGATGGGAATCAAGCGGTACTTTTAACAGCTGTCACGACATCTTTGTCAAACGGATCTATGCAAGATAATCAATTTTCTAGTGGAGAAATTCTGGAAAATGGAATAACCACGCATGGAATCAAGAAGGAGTCATAGCATTTTGCTGAAGAAATCCACAACTAGTGTTTATCAAAGTTATTAGTCTTAATTTTATACTCGAATCTGTAAAATCCCCACGAACGGTCCAAAAACCCGTTTGTAAACTTAGAATCGTACAAGACATATTGTGTGTTTTATTAGGGGAATCCCTAACTTGTTGTTCCTTCTTGGGTACAAAGCTAAATGCAACTCAAACATTTTTTGTGTTTCAAACGAGGAGTCAAGAACTTATAGGTTTTAAATTTAATTTAATGTCGAAGTTAGTTTTAAATCTTCCATGTACTCATCAGTTTGTTCAAGAAATAGCTTTGTGACAGGTTCGGTAGATCCGCATTTCACTCGTTTTCTATTTTTTTATAAATGGTATCGTTAAGTTTACTTTCATAGGATTTCATGTTGTAGTTATTATTATCTTTTTTTCAATTTGAAAAACATCTCTGTTAACTTTTGTTCCGCGTTTGTTGTGAAGTTTGCAAAACCTTGATTGCTTCATTCATATAAAAGTGAAATACGGATAGCTGATTGATAACATGAAAAATATTTTATCCTCAGACTTAATAACATATTAAATATATGGACCTTTTAGAACTTAATTTATGCCTTATTGATACAGATTTTATGGAAGCTGTGTGTTATAAGACTGATCAGGTCTGATATACATCCATGTGATATAGGATCATGCAGCTCTTGCAAGACTTTATGGACTACTGTCTCTGTATTTTCCAAGACTGTTGAAGTGAAAATACAGTTTTGTAGACCTCTGTGGGCAGTTTACCTACAAGTTTTGAATTTATAATTGTGTGACATGGGATCAAAGCAACTTGTTAAAGTTGTGCAATTAATATGCCTTGTTCTCTTTTTAACACGTAAAACAATTATATTCCAGAGATAAATTACCACTAAGGTTATTATGACTACTTTTGATCATACCCTTGACATGAAAAATTAATGGAGATGGATTTCCAGTTTAAAAAATAATTTTGGTTTTAAATGGAATTTCTTATTAACTGACCATCAGAAAACAATTCACATTAATATGGGGTGGTTCTGTTTACTTTGAACATTTTACCCTTCTTGTAGTCACAGATTGCAGACATTTAATAACTTTCAGTGTCACAAATCAAATGGCAGTGAGAAATCAACCCTTTGGCACCTATACTCACAATGTATCACCCCTGAAACATGGATTAGGTAGGAGAGTAGAGGGTAGTGAAGAGTATTTTCGTGACTCGTGAATGGACTATTTTTTTTCCCATGAAATGTGAAATGGCTTGTTTTTTTTCCCATGAATCGTGATTTCCTTAGTAGCTATGAGCTGTAATTTTCCAAAATAATTCTGCGTGAAATTAGAAAGAAGTATTTAATTAGTCATGAACCATGATTTTGGTTGTAGTTTCAACAGTAATGTTATTTCCCGTGAATATTTGTGGAAGGACCAATTTATTTACCCTGAAATGTGATCTTGACCCCCCAACCCCCCCCCTTTACCACCCTCAGAGTAAAAGGTAATGATCACAACTTGATAAAATCTTGATTGTTAATTAAATTCTCCTTATCAGCACTTTAAGAAATGTAAGGAGAACAGCATGGAGATTATGCATACTTACTTAACTTTATTTAAGGAGGGAAGTGCAATAACTTATTACAGTTTTCTAACCTGCGGCCCTCACGCCCATCCACCCCACCCGAAGGAAGAACACCCATCACACAGTAATCTCGTCTCTGGGAAATTAACGTCTCCTACCCCTAACCCTGCGGGAGACGAGACCTACGGTTTATTCATCCTTATTTGAGAAGACTAGAATATCTATCCATTTCTTGATATTATAGAAAGGTAGCACATTCTCCTCAGTTATTTTAAGACCCTGAGTGTTGGTCCTGCCGGGGCTTGAACCCTCAACCTCCCTCACAACAGTCTGGCACTCTACCAATTGAGCTAACTGATGTTTGGTTGTAAATGAATTACCCTTTCCTTCCTAAAATGTCATAAGTAATTCTCCTAGCTGTCTACACCCAATTTTCATTATGTTAGTTTGGAGAATTTGGTATTGGATCAACTGTTCATCCCCTAATTGATATGGTTTTTTTTATTCTCGTCTCTTATCTGCTCAGTATTGCATTCATACTGTTGGGAGAAATTCTGCCTTAGTCACTCATGGGAGTCGAATATTAAGGATAATACAAGTTAGAGCCACTCACTCTTGACCAGTGAAAAATGTTTTATGATAATCGCACCTAAAAACCCATCAAACATATCAGTTGAAATGGTTGATTTATATCAACGAAGATATTCTGCTCCACACAAAGATAAACACTTTGGCTGAGACTCTGGACCCAGTTGTTTGAAAGCTGATTAGCACAGACTTGAAGATAAGTTTTAATCAAGGTTTATTTATTCCTTTGTTCAAAAGTCTTTTCAGGATTGTAAGAGCATTTAAAAATAAAAGTCTAGAAAGAGAGAAATATACTGAACTTTCATTTAAAGCTCTTAGATCTGATACATATCAGATTGCACACCAGCTCTGAGTTATCTAAACCCAGCTTTAACCAGGTGGTTACCCACAAAAAAAATTACTTCTAGCTAACATGCAAATTGAGTTAAACCTCAGTACAAACAATTTTCATCCATGAAAAAAAGTATAAAATGAAATTGATATGATTGCACAAATCATCATTCAAGGAGAGGTCACCATAATTACAACCCATAGAATATTTATGCTCTCATGCCATTGGTTGTAATATGTCATGTGATTGACTGTACGCCGGCAAAAACTGGGGTCTATGTGGTGATGTTTAACCCTACTTCCAATATAGTTAAAATCTTAAATTAAATTATTCAAGATTTGTTCAAGATAGGAGAGAATTTTGCTGTTGATACAGAGGAAGGGATATCATCGTTTTTTCAATAAATGCTTGTGGACACTGTCTGAGCATATTATTATTAAATAGTGCCCTTTGTGTATAACTCTAGATAGATTTTGTAGTACTCTGGCACAATCAGTTCACATCATCCCTAGTTGTCTCTTTCTTTATACAAGATTGCAAGACCACAGATATAACACAAATGGAGTAATGGGAATGAAAAACAGAGGGAAGAGTGTTGCATTTCAAATGTCATTTCTCTGTCACTTCTTAAAAAGCTTTTAGCATGTCACCTCTCTGGGTGATTTTACTGTTATTTTGAAAGTAGATAATGACAAACAAGTTTAGTAGACAAGTTTATCTTCATAGCTGACCCAATACACCTGCATGAAGGACACGGAAATGTGTGGTATTCAGACAGTAGATATATCTTATCAACCAAGCGTGAGGGCCGTACTGGGAGAATATCGGCAGAAGGTCTTGACAGTACAGACCGAGAATAGCGAAGTCCATACAAAAAAGACCGAGGGCCCATAGTCTTCCAGTACGGTCCCGAGCAAGCTTGGTTAATAAGAGATTTATGATACGACTGAAGTTCAAAGGGACACAAGTGCGGTATCATTTGGGACCATTTGGGACAGTGCCCGGTCCAATACTTAGAGAATATTGGACTGGCAATGGAGCATTTTGATTGGTTGATATTAGTTATTGGCCCTCTGACTGCCTGACTCGTGTAATAAAATCACTTACTGGATCTTGGGAGCTCAAAAGTGCATGAAAAAAAGCTGAATGTGAGTATCTCATTGATGTAATATGAGGATACATGGTCAGAAGTCAGTTTGATTTAAAGAATAATCTGACACTGAAATTAAAAATCCTACTAAAGGGTAGGCCATATCAGTGATCAGCAAATAGAACTACATTTTCACGTGTCAAGTTCATGACGAGATAAAAAATTAAAGGCAGAGGAGGTATCATTTTTGTGCTTTTTAAGGGAGCTGAAGTGTAAAGGTATAGGGCAAGACTTCTATGAAGGAAGGAAGGCACAAAAACCCACGATAACAAACCTAGTATAATTTGCCTCCACTTACCAGAAAAAAAAAAATTATAAATATGTTCTTTACAGCATTTGGAATTCCCAACAAAGACAGTTCAGCCAATTTCTAAGTAGGGAGGGTTGGGGAAAGAGGCAGACCTTTAAGCCTGCACACAGAGATACGGTAACACAACTAATGTTGAAACATTAACAATAAAAACTATTTTATATTTAGCACTTGACAGTGGCCAGTTTACTTCTTAAGTACCACTACAAACTCTTTGCCTTTTTTTGTAACATAAGAGGAAATTGAATTACTTAAACCAAGTGCAAATGGGTTGGGATTTTTATTACTAATTGTCTGTGAAAAATGTGTTTATGTTCTAAAAAAATAATCACTCTATTACATGTGTTGTGAAACCATGCACATTTCAAATCAACCAGTGACTTTGTCACATCCACAGACCAAAATTGAAGTGGAACTTACAGTACCTTAAACTCATAGCTTATTACACCTAGATCTCAGCCTAATCTCAAACTTAAATAAACTGACCAAAACAAATAGGGAAAAAGTAAAAAATTGTAATTTGATATACCACTTTTGAAATTAATAAATTCCTTGACATAACAACTGCTACAAAGACTGACTGAAATTCTTAAGATAAAGAAATGTGTTTTTATCATAAGTCACGCAAATGTACCAGTAATATTTTTGGGATTCACCTCTGCTCTTTAACAATGAAATTAGAATGCTTGCAAGCCAGTAGAAATATAACTGCCAACAGCTAATTTAAGTTTGAAAACATCACATTTATCATCATTTAACATTTCAGCAAAATTTTGAAAAAATATAACTTCCCTTGACACATAATGAGGCAAAAAAAAAAACAAAAACAAAAACTACCTCAGTCTGAAATCTGTCATCCTACAATATGTACTCCACAATTTTTGCCTATGTTTTTTCCTTGTCAGTTTGTTTAATGCCTTGTCACTTGGCAAATTATAAAGCTGATAGAAATGGACCTATGGTGGTGATGTAGCTGATATTTAATATTGACAATCACATGAACTTTCCTGAATAGCAAATCAAGTCTTGTGGCCAAATTGGAACAGCTACACAAGCATTACACTTTTAAAATGATCAAAGCCATCTTCCAAGATTGTAATTGAAGTGCTCAAACCTGCTATCATTCTGCAGGAGTTTGTGCAACTGACACAAATCAGTGTCACTATACAACATAAACATATTTACACTGATTTTGTATCTTTTGATATATAAATATGACTTTTCTATTAGTTTCATTTATAAAATAATCCCTTTGTATAAATTTATCTCAAGCACTCTTCCATCAAGAGATCATCATCGCTCATTTCATGGTCTTCTTTGCAGTTGGGAAGGGATCCCCAGAGCATGATCTGAACTCCTGCAAGTAAGATATAAACTTCAATCACAACTTAATCAGTAATGTCTGATTGTAAAATGGCACATAAAGTAACATTGCATTAAGCTTGCTGACTTTAAGGTCTGGTTTCATTCCTGGCTGTGTCATTGTGTTCTCTTCTTGGGCAAAACCCTTCATAGGGCTCATATGCTTTTAACCCTTTATCTCCATAGATTATCCAAATGGGTAATAACTATATTCAGACTGTTAAAGAGGAAAATGCTTCCCTGATCTAATACCAAATTCTCATAACTTATTTGCAAGGATTTACATAACAGCTAAACAGGAGAATTAACAGGTTTTTGGAGTTTTAACGGTTAAGCTATTAAAATTCCCTGGCCTTTACCATTACTCTAATCTGAAGGAGGGTTTCAAGGCATGTGAATCAAACTAGTCACTTGCTTAAAATTGTAGTTTTAATCAACAGGGAAATCCTATCAATTTCCTTTAAATAGTCCATCGCGGTATTTTTCCGTCAACTTCTTGTTTGGATACAAACTTTTTGAGTTTGAATTAGTCTGCAGATGAAACAAGAAACTTCCAAATATGGAAAACTCGACCAAGTTCTCTTAATTGTTTGGACTTGTCAAACCACGCATGCATAGCAAAAATTTTGAATTCTCCGGAAACGTTACATCTCAGTATGAAGAATTTCGAGTTTTCTACTGATACAAACTGCTAAATTTCACAAAAAAAAGCCATAATTAACGAACAATGGATGACCACCGCAGAAATAATAGCCACAAGTTAACAATTATTTTCGTCAATAACAATCTCGAAAGCGTATAGTTTTGAAAGCTCTTCTGCAAATTATTTAAACTAACGAAAGGTTAACTTCGCAAACAGAACTGACGTCAAATGGAAAGCGCATAAAGCCACATCATTTATTGAATTTGATTAAAACAAGCAAATTTTAGTCCATGACAGAACCAGTTAACATCTTTTCTAAACATCAGCTGATATGGCTGTTACACGTGTCTGAGTAACAAAACTTTAAAATAACATTTCTCTGTCTAGCAAAGTTAACGGAAGTTTTTCGTATCGATGCTTTCACTTCTGTACCTGTTTGATCGAGTCTTTCCAGGGGATGAACCGCATTGGAGTGAAACATCCAAAAATGGCCGTTGTTGCAGGATCGAATGCAAGACTGGCATGGAAGTGTTACATGATATCCAACGACATTTCCACTGGTAAAAAATAAACATAATGTTTTAATAAAGAGTTATAAAAAAAATAAAATAAACCAGGGATGTGCTGAATAGGTATGAAGCCAATTCAGCGTGAAAATTAGACAACACTTACCACCCGAGACACGCAACATCTTTGATCCGACACTCGCAGTTTTGTGTCGAGTAATCTGTTCCTATTAATTGAATGGAGCTGAAAAAAGATGAAAGAAGCAGTAAGTGATGTAACAAAGCTGCAAAGGATAGGAGAGACATAATTCTGCCACGTCTAAATAAACTTTGCTCACTTTTCAGGGGGTAAATCTGTCGAGTACAGCTCCACTTTCGTGTCGGCCAGTAGAAGTGCTCTCATTCCGCGAGCACAGATGCTTCTTTCACAGTATTTGCACTCCAACCTTACCACTGTCTTACTCTGAAAAGCGGGATGAATCCTTCTCGACATTATAAGTTTAAAGGGTCTCTTTTTCCGTTTCGTTTTGAGCAAAAGCTTCCGGTGAGTAACGTCACATCAAAAATGGCCGTTCTTGGAAAACCAGTCGAGTTACTTCTAGTTATTGACTAATACTATTCTTTGATTGGCTGTTGCCAGGTGACGTTCACGCCTTAATTGGCCTTTAAATTTTTAAAACTCAGGGGCCTTGGGGAAGGAAAACTTTAAATTCTCTCTAGTTACGTGGTGAAATGATATTCTTTTGAATGATGATGCAAGTGAACCCCTGTCGTTTGTGTAAATGTCACGTCTAAAGTCAATTATCCATCATGACACGCGTGGAAAAAAGATAACTTGTAAACGCTAAGTTGAAGCATACAAGAATGACACAGTTTTACCAAGCTAAAATGCGGAAAAAAGGCATGAAAATTGCTATGAAATTGCGTTTCAATTTTAAGTTACCTTTTTATTTTTTCTATTTTTTTTTTCTTTAGGAGAAAGTGAAATTTCCCTGCATACGTTGTAATTCGCCCCAATCCTCACTAGGTCAAAATTCAACATGGCGTCCTAGTTGTGACTTGAGTTAAGTTGTAGAATCTTATTTCTTTCTCGACAGTACAGACAAGGCGTTTCTCAGTTCCGTCACTTCGCCCATTCGGTATCACCATAATTCTGTTTAATTTGTGATGACTACAATGGATGGGTACAAAGGAAGACAGTGTTTTACTCTTTTGTTGAACTGGCTGAGTTACGCATCAACTTACTTGCTTCGAAAACCGTTGGGAGTGGTAAGAAACGCATTAAGCTCTGTGAAATTCCAGTCTGGCAAAACCATAAATTAAAAGAAGAGATGCTCAATTGTGTTCCTTAGAAGACAATCAATATCCAGATATTCGAGACCATAAAATGTAAAAAATAGCGAAGTATATATTGGTTCTGGGCTAAATTCAGTAGAGCGTTTCACTTTTGAATCTGTTTGGATCTATATGACGCATTTATAAGTTTCCAACACCAACATTCAGTAGTGGAGCCTCAAGGAGGTGAAATGGAAACATCTTGAATTAAATCAAATCTTTTACTTCCAACTAAGAAAGGTAGCCATGACAACTGATTATTTTCGAAAATATCTTAGACCTTGTTGCTTCATGATAAAAAAAAAAAAAAGAAAAGGATAGAAAAAGAAAGACTCTTTAGGTTGGTTATTCGAACAAAGTTCAGCGGTTGTTTATAAAAGCCATGTTCTAAACTATCTTTAATACAGGCAAAATTTTAAACTGAACAGTAACTTAACTGAACAGTTATTTTTGTGAACAGTGTTAAGAGGGCTTGCAGCCAACAATGGCAGGACAGTCATTCATTCAATCAATTCATGCCTCAGATAGAGAAAACCTGAGGCCCACTGCTTGTATAAAACAGTGGTTTGCGTCAGACCTCCTTTAAATAAGTGGCCCTAAATACAATTTATGAAGAGGGTCCATAATTATGGATAAATAGCAAGTGCTATTCATCTCCAAGCTGCTGATGAGACAAAATGGCTGTCAAGAGTTGAATTTCCAACCATTGTTTGGTATTTTGGAAGAAAATTAACTAATTTTTCGGTATCTGTGCGGTACATAATAAAACAATTTTTCACCTCGGTCTAGGTGAAAGTGGTGGATATCCACCTCGTGGCTGCACAGCTTGGTAAATATCCCCCACTATTTACCTCCACTCTGCTGAATAATTGTTCGATACAGAAGTCTTTCCAAAGTTTGAACTGTTACCTCTTCTTTATTGCATTCTCTGCCAACTCCTCTTTTTGGAGTGGATTTTTCTGAGTGTTTTTAATTAATAAGTCCAAGTTTCTTTCATTTTTCCTGTGCATTTATTATTTCCAGGTCAAAGCAGACATGGCAAAAGTATACAATTTATCAAGAACGCAACTTGGTTTTTTGGACACAGCTTTCCTATTGCCATACGCTGTTATGCAGGTATTAAAATTAGACTACTGTTAATCTTGGATTCATTTAGCATATTCTCCATACTGTTTTCTATTCATTTCCCAAGGTGCTGACAAGGAGAATTTGTTCTAGCAATCAAGAGCTTCTTTAGTTGGTGATCATTTCCTTTATTCTCGTAACCTTAATGTGTGATTCAGGGGTAATATTGTAAGGAGAAATTAGATTCCAGTCACTCTGAGAGGGGTAAGGAAGTTAACCCTATAACTCCCAGAAGTGATTAACA